AAGGAAGGAAGGAAAACAGGTAGCACACATCAAGAATCCCAGCCCTTTGGGTAGTTGAGAAAAGGGGGTCACAACTTTGAGCCTGAAATGTAGTTTAGCGCAGTCTCTAGGTTCAGTCCTCAGGACAGAAAAAAGAAGAATCAGTCAGAGAATGGCAGAACAGGAAGAGAATGGCACATCAGGAGGTATTTGGAAGGACAAGAGGACAGCAAGCTGGAGCAAGCCTGGGCAATTTAGTGACTTAGTGAGGCCCTAACCCAAAATAAAAAATAAAAAGGGCCAGGGGTGTAAATTGCCTTTGGCCATGCACATGTGCGTGTGCAAGGGCACTCACAAACTGCGACATCCAAGGATTGAAAGTGATTTTTGTTTTCTTTGTACTTTTCCTGTGTCACTTGAGCATGCCCCCCAATGAATGGGTTCCATATTTAGAATCTAAAAAGACTATTTTTATTTGGATAAAATAAAGAGTTCTAGTGTGAAAAGAAGCAAAATAGGACAGCAGTGAGGGCAAATGAGGGGCATGTGTTTTTATTTTTTGGCTGGGAAGTCGCTGATTGGGCTGTGCTCAGAGGCTGCAGCCGGATGCTCCTGGGAACCTGGAGGGAGGAAAATGGGCTGAGCCCACTGCAAACTGAACTTCAGTACACACAGCTAGGGCAGGAGAGGAAGGACCTGCCCAGCAGGAGGATGTTGGTTAAGTAACCCAGGAACTCCTAAAAGCTTTCACAAAGAATGAGGAAGACTCCCCACCCCCAAGGATCCATTAGGACAAGTGGCCAAAATCCAATGTTAAGTAAAAAAAAAAAAGAATTTTCAGAACAAAGGGTAGAATACAATTTATTTATATGTGTGTGTCCCTCCTCTAACTCCTCTAACAGGGACCTGAGCCACACGCTGCCCCAAGTCCTTTTCAGTTTTTGAGGCCATCTCTGTAAATTGCGGAGGCCGGCCTTGAACTTTCCATCTCCTGCCTCAGCTTCTGGAGTAGCTGGGATTACAGGTGTGCCCACCAAACCTGTCTTATCTCAGGAGTGTGTGTGTGTGTGTATGAGAGAGAGAGAGAGAGAGAGAGAGAGAGAGAGAGAGAGAGAGAGAGAGACAGACCCAGGGGCACTCTGCCACTGAGCTAGGTCCTCAGCTTTTTTTTTTTGGGGGGGGGCAGGATAGAAATTATGACCTTTGAGGCAGGAGAGATGGCTTAGTGGAATAAGCACTTCCCTGGTAAGCCCAAGGGCCTGTTTTCAATCCCTGGTTCTGCCAAAAAAAAAATAATAATAATAATAATCACGACTTTGCACTTGCGCTTGCCAGGCAGGCACTTATGCCACTGAGCCATCTCCATGGCCCTAGTCCTTTTTGTTTTTTAATTTTATTTTATTTAATCTGTGTGTGCATGTGTGTATGTGCATGAGTGTGTGCGTGCGTGTATGCGTGCATGCGCGCGAGCGCGTGTGTGTGTGTGTGTGTGTGTGTGTGTATTTTCAGGTAGGGTCTTACTTTGTAGCTCAGGCTGGCCTGTAACTCAGTGATCTTCCTGACTCAGCCTCCTGAGTGCTGCGATTACAGGTGTATACAACTATGGCCAGCTTTTATTTTGGTTTTGAGACCAGGTTTCACTCCTCTTCCCAGGCTGGCCTCCAACAGCCATCTTCTTTCTTCAACCTTCAGAATAGCTGGAATTGCAGGTGTGTACACTATGCCCTGCTCCTCTTTTGTTTTTAATTCTTTAAAGACTGGGGTTCAGGTCACCTGCAAAGGACCTTCCAGCGTTCACAAGCAACTGAGAAGGAATAATAGGGCCTTTCTTAGTTACTCTTCTCTTGTTGCTGGGACAAATACCTGACACCCAAAATGAAGGAAGGGAAGGTTTATGCAGCTCACAGTTACTGAAAATTTTAGTCCATACTCGGCTGGCTCCAAGGCAGAGTGGTACAGGGCAGAGGGCAGCAGTTCATGGTGGCAAAGAGCAAGAGGAGCTAAGGGAGGAGTAGCAGCAACATTGGTGACAGAGAGGAAGTCTGTCTCTCTTAAATTATATTTAGGCTCTCTGCCCTAGGCTGGAGGAAGTGCACACACACATAGTCTCGGCAGTACTAAAACTCATAATCCCAAAGCCCAGCCAAATA